CTCAAGCCAAGGCGGCTCAAGTTCAGGTCAGTCCAAAAGCTCAGCTCAGTCGGTGGGAAAGCCTGGATCCTCCCCCATCACCAAACATGGCCTCAGCAGCGGGTCTGGAAGTACCAAGATGAAACCTCAAGGAAAGCCATCATCACTTATGAACCCTTCCATGAGTAAACCAAACATCTCTCCATCTCATTCGAGACCCTCGGGAGGTTCTGACAAGCTTGCTTCTCCCATGAAACCTGTCCCAGGTACTCCCCCATCATCTAAAGCAAAGTCACCTATCAGTTCAGGTTCTGGGGGCTCCCACATGTCTGGGACTGGATCAAGCTCCAGTATGAAATCGTCTTCAGGAATGGGATCCTCTGGGTCCATGTCACAGAAACCACCTCCTTCATCAAATTCTTCGACAGCCTCTTCATCTTCCTTTTCATCTAGTGGGTCTTCCATGTCTTCATCTCAAAACCAGCATGGAAGTTCCAAAGGCAAGTCTCCAAGCAGAAACAAGAAGCCATCTCTGACTGCAGTCATAGACAAACTTAAACATGGGGTTGTCACTAGCGGGCCTGGTGGAGATGACCCAATGGATGGACAGATGGGGCCAAGTTCCAATTCCTCAAGCCATACTATGTCCTCCAAACACAATATGTCCGGAGGTGAGTTCCAGGGCAAACGTGAGAAGAGTGACAAAGAGAAATCTAAAGTCTCTGTTTCTGGAGGATCTGTTGACTCTTCCAAGAAGACTTCAGATTCCAAAAACGTTGGAAGCACTGGAGTGGCCAAAATTATCATCAGCAAACATGATGGTGGTTCCCCTAGCATTAAAGCCAAAGTAACTTTGCAGAAGCCTGGGGAAGGAGGTGGGGATAGCCTAAGGCCTCAGATGGCTTCTTCCAAAAGCTATGGGTCCCCTCTAATCAGTGGATCTACTCCAAAACACGAACGCTGCTCTCCCAGCCACAGTAAGTCACCAGCATACACTCCCCAAAACATAGACAGTGAGAGTGAGTCGGGCTCTTCCATAGCAGAGAAATCCTACCAGAACAGCCCCAGCTCTGACGATGGCATTAGGCCTTTGCCTGAATATAGCTCAGAAAAACATAAGAAGCACAAAAAAGAAAAGAAAAAAGTGAAAGACAAAGACCGGGACAGAGATCGCGATCGGGATAAAGACCGTGACAAGAAGAAATCTCACAGCATGAAGCCAGAGAGCTGGTCCAAGTCCCCAATTTCGGCTGAGCAGTCTCTCTCCATGACGAGCAGCGCTATCCTTTCGGCTGAGCGACCGTCCCGGGCTAGCCCGGAGTTTCTGATCGGGGAAGAAGATGATGATCTAATGGATGTTGCTCTAATTGGCAATTAATTTTCTCAGTGTCTTTAAAAGATGAGCTGTATGCAGGACCTGCGGGTCCTAGAGGTTGAAAGAAAGGAACCGTTCGTTGCAAACCTGCCACGCTGATTTTACGGGGTGTGCTTGAAGAGAAAAAAAAAAAAAAAAAAAAGTATTTCCAAGGATCTCCAAAGTCCGAACAGAAAGTGTGAGTGCCAGCAGCTCGTTCGGCAAGCCAGGTTCCTGACTGTGGCCTTCCTCCCGCAGACACTTACACTCATTCTTAATTTATAAGTATTAATGGTCCCATTAGAGTTAATGGGTGTAAAGCTAAGTATGTGTGTAAGTGTGGGAGCAGCCCCCAAACTGGTGCAAACCGAAACAGGCTGTCCTGGGAGAGCCCGAGTTCCTCTGCCCCCCTCCCCATTCAGAACAAGTTGCTTTTGTATTTAGGAAGTTTTAAACTAATTATTTTAGGGCATGTTTTAGGGTTGGGTTTTATTCTTTTTAAAAGGGTGGTTGAAAGCAAAAAAAAAAAAAAACAAAAACGTTTTTTAATTTATTTTTGTGGCATTTCTTCATTCAATGCCTGTTGGAGTGCGGTGCTGAGGAGCTTTGTCTTCCTCTGATTGATACGAGCTGCTCCGCAGAATCGGGCACTGTGTTCTGATGGGTGCCAGCAGTTTATTCCTGGTCACGGTGATGAAGGATTGCTGTCTTATGTTTGACTTCCCTTTCGTTTTGGCTATTTATTTATGTCCGTATCCGAATGCCTTGTGCTGTTTATTTTCACGCAACCTGTTGTAACTGGAGGATGCAGAGCCCGAAGGGACGTGGGAATTTGGGTAGAGCGCGTGGATTTGGGCGACTCTGCCCCCGTGCAGCCGCTGTAGCTTTGGGGAAGTTGGTGAGATGCTGGCACGCGTTGGAGCAAATCTAAATTGCAAAGGGACTCTGCTGTCTGCATCTGAGCGTTGCTTCCTCGGAAGCCTTAGCAAACAGAGCTTCCCCCGAATCCCCTGGTGCTGCATTTGTCAAGCGATGGACTGGAAGCCGCGCGCGCCCCAGTCCTGCGAACGCTTTAGAGCCGTGCTTAATTTATCCACTACGAACACTTCCATTTGTGTCCATAGAACAGCTCGTGTGCATTCACGGTTTAAAAACGGGCCTTGTTTTCTCAGTCTCTTCCCGTTGCTGAGCCCTTCAGGGTTTCATTTGGGTTTTTGCTTTTTTTTTTTTTTTTTTTTAACTTGCAGCGCGCCTCTCGGATAGTAATTGCGGTAATGCACCCAAGCATTGCCTTCTCTCTCTGGGAGGTGTTAGCCTGGCAGTGAGTCAGCCGTGTCCTGGTGTCAGCACTGACACTGCTGGAAAAACAGCCCCTGACTGGTTCATCTGGGATAGGAGTTCCAGCAGAAGCGGCGATTTCCTTAAAAGATGGATTTTCCCCTTTTGGCTGGAACTAAGAGCATGACTCAGGCATCCTCTGCGGTCTTATCTTGTGGTCCCTGAAAGGAAAAGAGACTCAGGAGGGTGTTTTATTTTTAAAAGCAGTTAAATCTGATTCACTGAAGAGGAATGTGGGAAATCAAGAGTTCTGCAAACAAATCTCCTTTTGAATTACGTCCCGAGCAGAATCCCGCTCCCGTTGGATTTTGCTGTTGGCTCCTGGAGGCCAGGATTTCCCACGGGGGGGATGAGATTATACTTCACGTTTGGGGATGCAATCTGAGAAGATATCAAGGATTTAAATTTCTTTTAAACCACAGAGATTTCCAATCCTGTTTATGGTCTGACCCCAGTGATACCCCAGGCAAGCTGTTTCTTTTCCGGCGCATTCAAAGCCGGAGCAAGGCCGATGTTTTTTCAGTAGGGTGGTGACTATTCAGTTAATTACAGGGATTCTCCAACTCTTCCTCCTGCCTTCAGCTTAAATCCAGGGCTCCTGCAGCATGTGGGAGCCGTGAATTTCTCCACGGGCCCCCCAGGCTCTAGAGATCTCTCCCTTGTATTTTCCACCCTTCACCCTTCGCTCCTTGTCTGCGTACCGTAACTCCCCCCTCCCCAGTGCTCCCATCCTCATGAGCTGAGATCATGGGAAAACGGTAAATAAAGTCTAAAGCTGGAGCAATTGACGTTATCTTGCGCAGCATCAGAATCCTTTGACTGTGGGGTGTCTGTGAAGAGGATGTAAGAAATGCACTGCCAGATGAATTTGTCTCGAGACCCTGCTACCGCGGCTGCATCTCGGAGATGGCGCCTGTGCAGACTCCGGAAGGTTGTCATCTGTTTTTCTTTCTGCCCCTCTTTTTTTTTTTTTTTTTGAAAGTTGTTTTCTTTTACAAAAGCCCTTCGATCTGTTCGGGGTTGTGTGAAGGCTTAAACAGCCTTCAAAAAGAAGCGCTCTTGAATCAGGGCTGGGGATTTCATGGGACGGATTGCTGGACTTGTCCTTAACCAGAGTCGTGTTTTACCGCTACGCAGCAGTAAAAGTTGGAAGGAAATACCGTTCAGCTTCGTAATTAACACCAAAAAAAAATGCATTTTAAAGGAAAGAGCTGCACACGTTTCCTCTCTGCTCGCCCAAGACCAAAGTTCAATATCCTAAATTCCTCCTGCGGAAGGTGGGCATCGCCGTCGCCCACAGAAATCGAGGGAACAAAGTCTCCCCCGGCCGCTGCCGGAGCCGCCAGTCCCGGGCCGCGGGGCACCAGTTTTAAAGCTTTTCGCCCCATTTTGGTGCGCTGTCCTCTTCCCCTTTGTGTGATACAAATCATGAGAAAGAGACCGGAGCCGCTTCCATGGCCGTGCTGAGATGAGGTACACCACTACGCAGACGTTTTGACCTGTAAATGCTTGGTCTCTGACAAATGTTTTATTTTTAAAATATTTTTGCTTATTCTCGACAATTATTTTACATCTTTCAGTATTGGAAAGATAAAAGGTGTAAACGAAATAAAGCCAAACCTTTTAATCTCAGGTGGTGAAGTGTACATGGAGATTAAAAGAAAATGGTTCTTTCCTAAATGGTCGTGATGTAAATACCTGTCTGGAAATTGGCTTTTTTTTGTAAATACCCCCAGCTCCTTTTGCATTCTTTTTGGATGTAGAGTGGACTTTCAACTTTTTTGGAAATATTGCAAAGAACATGTTTATTTACATGCAAATAAATCTCTTTGGTACAAAGGCGTCTCGGGTCTCTGGAAGCGGGGGGGTGGGGGGGCGGCGGGGATCCCCGCCACGCTTGATTTTCCCGCGGGAATGACATCACCGTGACGCTCCGCCAGCGCGGCCCGTGATTGGTCGAGCTCTGCGGCCTCCCGGAAGCGAGCGGAGGGGGGGGGGACGACACCCCCCACCGCCACCACCCCGGGACCCCCAATCCCCGCAGCGGCTCCGGGGGGGAGGGGGGGGGGGTGGCGCGCCCACAGCCGCCGGTGTCGCGGGAGAAAACGGGGGGGCCCCTCGCAGCCACCACCCCCCCCCCCGCCCCACCTCCGGTGGCACCGGGGGGACGATGGGGGCGGCTTGCGGGGTAGGTGGGGGCGGAGGGGGAACGCGCCCCCCCCCCCCCCCCCCCCCCCCCCCGTGTGTGTGTCCGTGTGTCCGTCCGCTCCGCTCCCCGCCGCCGCGCGCGCGCCCGGCGCTGGCCAATGAGCGCGCGCGTTGCTGGCAGGTGCGGAGTGTTTTTGTTTTGGGTTGAAGTTGAGGCCGGAGGAGACGCGGCGGCGGCGGCGGGCGGAGGCCGCGGAGCCCCGGTACCCCCTGCCCTCCTCCCTCCGCCGGCCTTCCTCCCGCCCCCCCACCTCCTCCTCCTCCTCCTCCTCTTCCTCCTCCTTCCCCCCCCCCCGGCCTCGCCATGCGCAGGGAGATGAACGGGGTCACTAAGAGCCGCTTTGAGGTGAGGCCCCGGGGCTGCGGCCGCCCGGCCCCGCTGAGCAGACGTGGGGGGGGGCGGGGGGGAGGCGGTGTGGGTCGCCGTGGGTCGTGTCTTCGCCCCCACCCCACGCGGGCCAACCCGTCATTGCGGCCCTGGGGAAAAGCGGGGTGGGGGGGGCGCTGTATGAATGGGGGTGGGGGGGTAGGGTAGGGGCTCGGCCCTGCACACACCCCCCCCCCCCCCCGCTTCTTGAGGGAGACGGCGGTGGTGGTGTGAAACTTCTTCCCCCCTCCCCTACAGTTTAGATTGTTTTGCCCCAATTTACATCTGGCAGCGTTGCCCCGTCGGCTGTGAACCACCCCCCACCCCCCCACCCCGAGGGGGGGGAGGGTGCGGGGGGGGGGTGGGGGGCAGGGCTGCTGCCAACGTGTTGCTGCGAGGGGGGGGAGCGCTGGGAGGGGAGTTGGGGATGGGGGAAATGGAGCCTGGAAACCACGGCGGGCTGGGGGGGGGGGTGGGGGGTGGCCCCGGCGAGGCTTCTTTTTGGGCAGTAGCCGGGAAAAAAATTTGATTACGGAGAGGTGGGGGATGGAGGGGACGGAAGGAGCAGAGGGTAAACAATAAGATCTATTCAAAGACTGGGGCACAAAGCAGGCTGCGGAGCCAGGGCCGCTTCCAGCCCGGCATTGTTGTAACAGCTGGCTTCCCCGGGGCGGGGGGGGGGGGAAGGGGAATGGTGGTGGGGCTGCCCGGCTTTGCTTCTCATCGCTGTGAGAGGCGGCTGGGGAGGATGAAAATACCTGCCCGGTCCTTCTCTCGGCCGCCCGGCTTGTGGTCTGTGCCAGGACAACGTGGGAAGAAAAGAACCCGGAATGGTAAAGATGTGGCAGTGTCCCCCCTTCCTAGAGAGGGGACGCCAGCAAAGGAAACTGCTGGCTGTTGGTAACCTGGAGGGTGGCTGGTTCCACCGAGAACAGCGTTAATTCCCCAGAAAACTGGCTCTGGAGTTGAGAAAGGTGCAGAAAATAATGGTTTTGTAATGCTGCGCGTGAAATTATTTTCTTCCTCTGTCAAATTCCTATCAGCTGCTGTAAATAAGTAGCAGCGTATCTGTTTAGAATGGTTTCAGGTTAAATAGTGTTATAATAGTCGTGTTTCTGTAGCGTCCAAGTGATTAAAAACATTGAACTAAACCTGGGAACTTGGAAAGAGAAGGCTGCATGCGTAACGTGTTTTATCCGGGGTTATTGTTTTTACTGTTCTAGTCTGTTCTTGGCTGCACAGATTTTTTAATTTTTTTTCCGAGAGGGTTTTTTTTTATTACTGCGGAGTGGCTGGTTGCAGAGCAGCATAAAGAATAAAAACATGCTGGTAGCAGTCTTCTGTGGGGAAATGTCTTCTCATATGGCAACAACCAATTTTGCTTGCTTAGCCTTTGTCTTGAAATACTAGAGTTCATTCCAGTATTGGAAGAGCTTTTCATCGGGGTTGTACCAAAACAAGACTAGCCCAATTCATTGTGGAGGAGTGGGGAAGAGTTTTGGTTTGGGTGGGGTTTGCATGTTACTTTCTTCCTGTAGTGAAAAATGGACAAGTGGAAAATAAGCAAAATGCTCAAAGAGTATTTGAGGTCAAAATGAAATTCTTTTTCACTTTATATTTGTACAGGAAGAGTCAGTGTCTTATAGAAGGGATTACTCTGAGCTACAAGAAGTGCCTTTAAACATTATCCCATTTCTTGGATATGTGTTGGTTAGTAAATCGAGGGCAGGGTTTTATTAGCCCTAGCATTGATTATCTCTGACCCACTCACCTGTATATCCTGGAAGGGACAACTTCTTTTGCTTGAAATACATGTTTTTTTTAGCGAGAGTGGTTTGGTCTGGAAAGCTTCTAAAACATTAGTGTATTCACACTTACAGATAGATCTGTTTTTCAGAGGGGAAGTATGGGTAGAAATTTTAGCCATACTTTCTAGAAAACAGTTCATAATGTTTCTGCTTTAAAAGTAAAATTCCTATTCACTGACAAGAACGTGCCTTTTAGTGTAATAGTTCATATTTAATGTGACATAAGGACAATTATGCAAAAATGTGTTGAGTCTGGAAGCTGCTATTCAGAATTGTTGAATATTGTAAGATCAACGAAGACAGCACGGGGTTGAATGCTTGGTGATTAGTACTCCTCCTACATAGCCCTCTGCGTTACCTCCGGATTAGACATGGAGCTGACTGCCGTGGTAGTTTTCCTGACTGAGGGGTGGTAAGCAGGGCCTTTGAGTCTGGAGTCTTATCCTGGGGAAAAAATAGCTTGATGCAGGGTTGTGAGTAATGTATATTGTGTCTGTTTCAGACTTTAAATAACAAGTGAATTATTGAGGGGGAGTTTGGTGCGGGTTTTCAGACTTAGTTTATTGTCTTTTGTTAAGCCACGTAAACAGATTCCTGAGCTATTGTTGTTGGGTAATTTTAAAATCCAATCTAGATTGGATTTAATAATAATTTCTTCTTACTGTAGTAATAAAATATGGTAATGGAATATGGACTAAGCTTCTTAAATTTGACTTGCATATGGGTTTCTGGTACGTATGTGTAGCCAGCCGTCTGTTCCAGGAAGAATAGAACTCTTTCTTTTAAATGGAAGAATGAACTCTGGCATGCCCAGCCAAATGAGTATATTCTAAATAAGTCCCTTTATAGGAGGTGTGGCCACCACAGAGAAAATAACCACTTGCTGCAGCAAAGCAAACAAAAAGGGAAAACATTACCCAGATTGACTCCTAATTTTCTGTGGTGTCGGTTTAATATGGAACATGCCCTGACAGATTACAGTCCTGGCTTATATTTGGGGTTTCTGTGCTTCCTGTCGTACCTAATACGCAACGCCTGATGAACTGCAGCTGAGTAATAGCGAAGAGGAGGGGATCTCCTCTCCCGATGCTTTTGGCTGACTGGTGCTCTACTCTCGGAGAGCGTTTGCCATCCAGAGGCCCTAGTTCTCATCGCTTCTTTAATCTGTTTCATCCGCGCTCTTCTGGCCTGGGATGTCATCTGGAGACCAAGTGTCTTAGGCTCGCTTTCACTCGCTCGCCGCTCTCACTAACACGTCGTCAAAAAACAAACAGCATCTAGGGCAGGGCGCTCCTCGGGGCTTTCTGGTTTTCAGAGCGGAGTGGATGTGGTCGGGCGGCACCGCTCTGCGATGGTTAACGCTTACGTAGACGCATGCACAGGGCTGAAAGAGAGCATCTGGCACAAAACTACCTGCCTACGGTCAGGTGCAGAGTTTTATACGAAACAGGGGCTTCCTCGGTGTTAGAGCAACCGTGGGACAAGTTGTGGACAGACTCCTGGCTCTTAACCTTTCCCCGCACAGGGATCTCTTGCTCTGCAGTGTCTTGTGTCCCATTGAGCTGCGTTGTCAGGCTTAAATAATTATAGTTGCTTTTTTTTTTCCAGACTGTGAGCAATACATGTAGTCTCCTCTACATCCTTAAACAAAAACAACAAAAGAAAACAAAATAAAAGCACCATCCTTTCCAGCTTCCTCAGGGAGTCTTCAAAACCTCCAATTAGTAGGAGTTGATTCTGGCTGTAAAGCATTTATGGGCCAGTTTGTCCCATTAAATAAAATGTGAACACCAGGGATATATCTGAGAAACGAGCGTGTGTACAAGCCTTGCGAGCACCTTCAGCCAGACAGTTGCATCAATCCAGAGCATTTCACAGCACTTCTCTCATCGTAGGATTCAGGATCCTCGGTGCGAGGAAATTCTGACTCTTCCTGTGCTAGTGGCCTCTGTAATTCCTAGGTCTTGCTTGAATTTAGAGCTGCCGTGAAACAAGGTAAGCTGAAAGCAAAACAAGAAACTTAGAATGCTTCAAAATCGAGTTGCCTTCTAATAATTAATCCTGTCTGCATTCAGAAAGCTGAATTGAATAATCTCAGTTACCCTCATCCCCTTTTTGAATCGGCTGAGTTCGGGGCTCTTAAATGCCTCTTCCTCGTTTCAGGGTTGCTTGGCTTTACGGTTTAGAGCTAATCCTTTTGGGGTTGCCTTTGTTCCCCTTGCCGGCCTGCTCCTGTGCTTCTTCCTATCCTGGTTAGGGCTTTGTTATTTCAGGCAGCGGAGGTTGTGTAAACAGAGGGACACAAACAAAGCGGGCAGGGAGTATCGATAACTCTTTGCAGCCCACAGTGTCTCTTCTTGCTGTTTTCTAGCAGAAACTTGCAAACACTGCTGTTACACTTACCGTGGCATTTCATTTTTATATGGCAAGAGAAACTGTTGCTGACATACACAGTGAAGACATGAGGTAGTGCAGTTGAATCCAAACAGTTTTATTTTGGCAGGTATCTAATAATGTGGCTCATAAGTAATGAGAAACACTGTCAAAATAAAAAAATAGAGATTTGGGGGGGTGTTAAAGCTGATGGCTTTTACATACTTGTTCACTCCCCCCACCCCCATTTTTATTTTCTTTCTTTATTTTGGTGTTATCTCATGCCACACTTAACATGAAATGCTTTTTAAGCCAGCACTTTTTTTTTTTTTTTTTTTTGGCATACGAATAATAAAATGTTACTTTATTGTGTACAGAGTGGTTGTTTAAACATTAAGATGATAAGACATGTAAACTATCACTCAGGTTTCACACCCTCACGGTGCTGGTCCTGTGCTCCGTACTCTAGTAGAGGAAGGAGGAATTCAGCAGGGTTTGGAAGCAAAAGTCAGATTGGTTGTGCAAAAGATACGGGGCCCAGGCTACAGAGAGACTGGGAAGGATTAAACAGGCAGGTGGCTTTTGGCTGGATGAGGGGGCAATGGGGCGAGAGCTCCCTTGCTCTCAATTTCTCCTTTGCAATCTGTGTGCTGTACTTTGCTGTGCAGGCACCGTACAGACAAGCTGCCAAAAGCCAAAGGAGGCACAGTGCGGGGGAACAGGGTAATTCTAAAATTGACCAATAAAGGTATTTCAGAAAGCACTTCTGCTTGCTTTTCTTTTGCATCTTTTTGTTAA